GAAAAAAGGTGGACATGACAAGGAGGCTTACCATCTCCTCAGCAGCCTCTGTTTAAGTTGGATCTCCCAGAGAAAGTTCAGACAAATGGAGCAGAGTAATTTTTCTTCAGAAAAAAATTAACTCTGTAGAAATGGTAAAAAATCAATCCATAATTTTGTATCATATTTTGATTGATTTTTCTGTGTGATGCTAATTAAGCTTTGTTGACTCTTGTTCTTATTTATAAATTATGATATTAAGCGTGTAACTCAGCTTTGCTTTCCAGCCTTTAGGCTGAACTAAAAAAAAACCTTTATTTATGTATAAATTTCTTGATATGCTATCACTTCAAGACAAAACATCAACATCACAGCAGAAGCATCTTGTGGCCCGTCTGGCTCACTGCATATACTTTGTATATTTCTTTTTAAAAAGTAGACTTCATATATATTTTTTAAAAGTAAAAATTGGTTTTGTTTATGTCTTGTGAGATTGATTTATTTCGCCAGGGCTGGTTGAAACCTCAAGTTACAAATGCCAAACTATAGCCAGGAACTTGCATTATAACAATTCTTCAACTTTTAACCTTCATTTTTACTTTTTAGAAACTGGAAAAACAAAGCAAATTATAAAATCCTGATCTCACATTGGAATTTGAAGGAAAATGCCCAATGATGTGCTTCTGGATGGTAGATGGTGGCAGCAAAATTAGTCAAGCCATAATCCCCAGGCCAGGGGCTTTTTGGAGACAAGGCCAGGGGCTTTTTGGAGAGTTGGTTTGAGATTTCCAGCCTTGTATACATGAGCTCAGCTATAAGATAAACATCTAGAAATTAATTTAATTTCGGAATGGCATTGACATTCAAGTTGTCAAAGATCTCAAATAATTATACTTTAGCAAAGATTCAGACAGTTTGCACAATTTGTTTTTTGTTTATTCCTATTTTGAACTATCAGTGTTGCTCTGAAATTTGCTGGTTAAAAACAATATCAGCAAACATTTTCATTCTTCTATGATACCATTTGAAAGTGTTTGGAAATGTGTTGAGCTTTATTTCTTGATAGTCATTTGTGAGAACACTGCAGATCTTTAGCTTGATTTACTGCCTTTCTTTGAATGTTTGACAAATTCAAATGAATTCAGTATTCCTGCATAACAGACAGCTAGTTGGTTTGTTTAGCTAGCAGGGTTGTTGTTTTTTTCTCTTTCCCCATAAATATTACTTCAAGGATAATTTATGAATGCTTAAGCTTATTCTGCCATTAGTATGAAATATATTCTGTTTACAATTTTATTCAGCTTTAGGGCAGAAACTTAACAGTTAATTTTCAGAAGAGTGTTTCAAATACCAGCTTTGTAAGCACATTTAGCAATGTTTCTCCCCACCATCACCACTTCAAATTACAGATCCCATCTGTAATAATTTATTTGTACTAAGAAGAACTGCATTAGTTTTAACAACATTTCTATTCCCTTAAAGACAAGAAAGTTTATGGGCTTCTAGTCTACTTACAAAACTTGGCTATTTTCCAAAAAAATAAATTAATTAATATGCTACTTTTCTTCTTAACAGATGTGCGGGCTGGTACAAGGTTATCATCTAAAAGTAACCGTATTAGTTAGGTTTCCCAGTTCTATCATCTTGCTGTTTTTATCATCTTTCTTCTCCACCTCAGGATAGGCAATACTATATGGACTGATGGACCAATAATTTGTTGTAAAACACTTTCACATGAATGGTTGTAATGATATAAGCCACTTTCAACATCTAGTCAATAATAACTAAGATCGGGATACTAATATACTCACAGAAACTTCCTTAGGCACTACCATGGTTGTTCTTCCACTGGCTTTTTATAAAAAAAATTAAATGCATATTTTTTTAATGGATTACTTGGCAGAGTTCCAACCTCCTGCATTATCTTTATTTTCATTAATGCCTTTAAGTCCCAAATGGACCCAACTTGCTTTATGTAAAAATAAAACTTATACCGTCCACTATTTTGATTTTCCCATCTACCCAGAATAAGTATAAATGTATATAGTAAAAATGTACAGATAAAAGAACATCCTGAAACAGGGAGTAGGACTAGACATTGTAGTAAATAGCATTTTATCAGTGCCCTCCCCCCCCGCCCCATCTGCCTGCACTATGGAATAGCCCATCCCCTGTATAAATCTGAAGGAGCCCTACCACCCTGGCCATCCATAAGGCCATTGAGGTCTGTTTCCCTGGATCAGAGTTGAGCCCACACGTATATGTTTGGCATAGAATTAGAATTTAGAATTCTTTATTGGCCAAGTGTGATTAGGCATACAAGAAATTTGTCTCCGGTGCATAACAACAGTACATGCAACAATAGTGATAGGTCATCATAGTCATTGTAAAAATAAATCCATCATAAAACATTAGATATAATACTTTGTGATAGTCATGGATACTAAATAAGCAATAGGAATGTTATGTTGCCTAGCTCATATTAAATTATGTGGGTTTTTTTTTTAACTTTTGTTAGTTTTTTGTACACCCAAACATGTTTTTTTGTGCCTAGGCTTAATTCTATGCCTATTCATATTCAGATGCAGTTTTGACAATTCTTATCTTAATCTAAAATATGCAGCTTTCATTATTCTTCTGGCAGATAATGAAGAGGATATAAAATAAGAGCAAAAGGCAGAAGAAGTTAGATTGCAACATCAATAACATTAAAGTAATTACAGTGGTTTCAAATAGTGGCAGTCAAAATAGTGGCAGTCAAAATATGACTTTTTTTCCTCCGGTTCTAAAATTGACCAAACAGAAGGGAAAGAAATTAAATGAGGACTATTACTTGGATGCATTGCAAAAATTAGCATGAAAAACATCTGGCAAAGCAAGAACACTAAGGCATCAGGCTAGAAACCAGGAGATTGTGAATTCTAGTCCTGCCTTAGGCATGAAAGCCACCTGCATGATTTTGGACCAATCACTCTCAGGCCAATTCACAGAAATGTTGTTGTGAGGAAAATAGGAGGAAGAAGGAGTCTAAGGCATGTTTGCTGTCTTGTTATACGTAAAAATAATAAAGTTGGGATAAAAGTAAATAAATAAAACCAACTAACAATAGTAGATGCTATTGTTTTTCCTGTAACTGCTTATGGCATTTATAATTTGACAATAAAAAATAGAACAAAAGTAGACTCCCATAAAATTAGAGTTGAGAGACAGCTATTGCAATATCATAAGAAGCAAAAGTAACAAAAGAGGAAAATTTAGAGGAAAGTCAGAAATCTTACTGCAAAGTAAGATTACTAAACTAAGACTACCTTCTTTACGTCAAGACCCCAGTTTCTAGGAAATAGGATAAAGATGCCCTTGAGTCAATCCCAACCTTTATATGGACTACTTCCGTATAGTTTTATTTCTATACAAATTTATATTATTATTAAAAGTGATTTACTGTTGCCTTCTTTTAGGATGCTTTTTCAACTTTACAAATCTGGTCAAATTTGACCCCCAATTTTCCAGATGGTCTCCCATCAAATACCAACCAGACCCAATCCTATTTAACATTTACAATCACGTAATTTCTGTATGTTCTAGATCAGGGGTGCCAAACTCGATTTCATTGAGGGCCGCATCAGAGTTTTGTTTTACCTCGGGAGCCAGAGTGGGCATGGGCAGCTCAATGTCACTCATGTCGGGGTGCCTGTGGTGGCCTGAGTGCTTGGCCAGCAAAAACAGGCACCCAAGCTCCATTTTAGCCTGAGACGGCTTCCTGCAACCCTCTGCTAGCAAAAACAGCTCAGGAGGGGCACGGGCAGCCCTCCCGAGTTCCATTTTCACTGGCAGAGGCACCATGGGCTGGCCCTTTGCTGTTTCCAGGGCAACCTGCGGGCCAAATCTAAGCACCCCATGGGCCAGAGCGGCCCCCGGGCCTAGATAAGTACTAAAGTCTAAATTGGGTTAATGTTAACTGAAAGTAGTTGTGAGCAGCTACAAACTGGGAGAGTGTGAGTTTTACTCCCAGTCTAAGCACAAAGCCAACTAGATGACTTTAGGCTACTTATCTATCTATGGGGATTTATCCAGAGAGTGGCTAGGAGTCAACTGATGTTGGAAGGTGGGGTAGGGATGGAGGGTGAAACTAATCTACTTTAAAGGTTGTTTAGAAACTACAGTTGGTCCAAAATATAGTAGGAATAATATTTCTTAACAATTGTATTACTTTATATTTGCCAGTTTTGTTTCTTCTGTTTCTTGCTTGTTTCAGAGATCAGTTATAAAGCTGGGAACTAAAATAGACCATGTTGGTCTATTTAAAATCTTAGTTATGGTATATGAAAAAAAATAACTTTCTTTATATGGACCTGCCCAATTCCTAAAATTCTATGCTACTACTATCATTGAAAGTATAATGGAAGGGGAAAAGGAACAGAAGTGAAGAAAGTGTGAAATGTTCCATAGATCAATTGGACATCTTTTTCTTGATGTAGACTTTGAAATTGACAATCGTTCCTGTTTCATTTTCACATGTTTTTATTTATGCTGATTTTAGCTTAATTTTACTTTTTTGTTTAATTCTTGATGTTACTATTGATGTTATGTTTTAAGTTTTATTCTATTTTGGTTATTATTTACTCTTTGTATGCTTTATAGCTTGCAGAAAAGGGATATAATTGAAATTTAAACACTAGTGTAAACTGATTCCTCAAAAGCTACTTGTTTCTTTCTCTTTTTCCTTTATATGAGTGCAGGAAATAAATAGGTCTGTTGAATATCACTGCAAAGAAACCATTAAGAGCTCATTATTGAAAGTGATCATTTTTCATAAAGTGGCTAAAGTTTTGGTGACATGTTAACATTGATTAAAAATCAATTTCCCAATAAAAACATTAAGCAGTTGTTGGTGAATCCCATCAAAATAAGGTCAAAATCATTTTGACACAAAATCTGTAAGGAAAAATCAAGCATGGTATGAGAAATAATGGCAAATAAAGTAACAACTATTAATTTTTTTTACTTTAAATTTGATTTAGAGAAGCAGACAGAGTCCTGAAGATGTTCCATCAAAGAGAAAAAATGTGAAACAGGATCATTTAACAAGTGAAACCAGCAGGCCTCCTCTCCTTTATATTATACATCCTGTACACCAGAAACAGAAGAAGGTTCACCGGATAGGCTCAATTACGTTCCTGGTTGGAAAGACACCTAGAAAAATCCGCAGGTAAGATTACAATGTTGGATTGTAAAGTTTTAAGTGATCACAGGTTTTCTGAGTCCTGTTTAAATTGTATTGAACAAGATTTTATTTCTCTTCAAGTTTTATTTGGAATTACTACTCCTTATATTTTGCAAACTATTTATAAATATTTGTCTTTACAATTATAGCTTTTTTGCAAATCAGTGCAAGCATTGCCAGTAGTCTATATCAATTATTTTTTGATGATTGTGTGCAACATGCAGCTGCAGCTGAAATTATTCTTAGTTTAGTGTAACAAAATGTTGTGTTTACTGAATTCCTTCATTCCCTCACAAATTGTTATAATGATATACATTTACAGCTATGGCATTGTTTGATATCTCTTTTTCATTGGTAATAAGGTAGTCTTCGACTTAAAACAGTTCATTTAGTGACTGTTCAAAGTTACAACATTACAGAAAAAAGTGACTTATGACTATTGCAGCAACCCCATTGTCACATGATCAAAACTCAGACAATTGGCAACTGACTCATATTTATGATGGTTGCAGTGTCCCAGAGACACTGATCCCCTTTTTCAATCTTTTGACAAGCAAAGTCAATGGGAAATCAGATTCACTTAACAATATATTATGAATTTAACAACTGCCATGATTCACTTAACAACTGTGACAAGAAACATTGTAAAATGAGGCAAAATTCACTTAACAAATGTTTCACTTAGCAAGTGAAATTTTGAGCTCAGTTATTTTGTAAAGTCAAAGACTACGCTCTAGAGACTTCTACCTACTAAACAGAAAAAAAATCCAGAGATTGAGCTTAGTGAAAAGCCTATGTTCTAAATGAGCAATCACAGTATAGATATTTAATTGTAAGTATTCGATCTTACTATTGGAAAGTGACTTTTGAGAGAAGACTAGGAGATGAAACACTATTTCATTTCTGCTGACCTCATCAAGATTTGTAGGAAATGTCTTATGAAGTTTGCATTGGCCAAGAGTGTCACGTTTCATTTCAGAATCAATGCATCATAATTTTATTAGCCTTGATCACTCACATCCCCTTTTCATGAGGTGAATTATTCCTAAAAATCTCCAAAATGGTTAGGATAGAAAACGAAGCAAAATGATAGTTTAGGAATACTTTCTTTGATGTGGTCTCTGGAGATTTTCATATGGGGCAGTTTAAGGCTAATGTTCTCCTACATGGGGCCTTTGTCATTTCAGAAATAAACAAGTAAGGAAGTGGCCTTTAGAGGCTTTGTACCTCTCTTTATCTTACCATACCCAGGAATCTAGACTACAAAATTGAGGGGGATAGTCTTAGCAGTCACTGAAGTCAGTAACCTAGTTAAAGAAACATATAGGTATTTGAGATCATTAGGTCTTAATGACACTTCTGTAATGAAATACATTGCTTTCTTGGATTGGGACAATTATATTTTTAAAAAATGATTTGTGCAAATTAGAGTACAAATCATACTTTATTTACTATAAAATAAATATGGACCATGAATATTGCTAAATTTACTATAATTAACTTAGTGAAAGTAGAATTATTAAAGTTACAATCAGTATAAATAGTAATATAATAAAGATAGAACGCAGGTGGAAGGAAGAAAGACATTTTACCAGATCAGAAGCTGTGACATGCTCTGTGAAACAAAATTCTTGCTTTGTATTTGAAAAACTTGGCTTGTGCTTCCTTGGGAAAAATTCCAGAGGTTGTGTTTATAGAAAATTAGGGAGCTTTTTCATGTATTTTAGTAAGAAGAAGAAAGATTGTATATTGAGAGATGAGTAAATAAGTTTAAACAAATAGGTCTTGGTATTTTTGTTCAGACAACAAACTCTAATGACACAATAGATATTTTTATATTTTCTAAAAAAAAATCTCTCAATTTCTTCACAGTCCTTGTTTGAAAGCTTTTTAAAATTTTGAAATAGGAAAGAAAACTCCCCCCCACATCTCTTTGACAATTCACAAATGTCCATATATCATTATTTTTCAGGGGCTGAGGGACCAGTTAGGAAAAGTCTTTCTCTTCCCTATTTAATATTAACATTTTTCACTTGCTTAATCTCACAAGGAGAATGATTAAAAATAGTGAATGATAAATCAAGGAATTCAGACCATGTAACTCAACCTTTTTCTCTTCCAAAATAACTCGCTGACCTAGATGTAGTTGTAACATCAGCCTTTTTATTTTGTGACAGTATTTCCACTACTTAGCCCTAACCTGGTTTTGAAAGAAGTGTCATTCATTAACCTTGATAATGGTTATCTGGTTTTCTGTTCTTTGAGAGAAGTAACTATCCTTTTCACCAATTGTTGCAGGAAGCAGTTTGAGGAAATGGCAGATTTTTTTAATAAAGCTCCTGTGGAAGAATTTGCAAAGTACATCACTCAAACTACATCAGAAGAAAGGCAGAAAATGTTGAAAGAATTTTACAGTGCAAAACATCCAGAGTTAAAAGATCTTTTAAAAGTTGATGTCCCAGCTTCTGTTTCAGAAGGAAACAAGGAAGATGGCAAGTGTAAAACCAAGTTCAGGAAAAAACCCTCCATTTCTAACCACGTGCAATTGAAGTCTGATCTTCCTATAGATCTCGGTGTTCCAGGTAGATCTGATGCTGAAGAAAAACAATTTGTGTATAAGCTTTCTGTACAGGCTCCTGGGAGTCAAAATGGGGAAGACAAACAATTGCCAGCTGATATTCTGGAAGACAACATTAATGGGAGAAACAGTCAGGCATCCAAAGACTTCATGGCATCTGAGTCACTAACTGGTAAATCAAGAATAATTGAGAGACTGTCTGCAAGTAGTTCTAAAGGACAGCTGAATTTGAAGGGAACACTGTCGCCCAAAAAACTTCTTATGTCTGACTCAGAAAGCAGTCAGGCTGAAATGTGCCAGAAAAATGCTGTTGCAGACTTGCTAGGAGACACCTCTATTTTAAATGACCTCTTCACAAGTAATGAAAATAGTCCAGCCGAGATACCCAGGAGGCCTCTTAATGGGCCTGCCGAAAAAGCAGCAACTCGACCAAAAGATTTCTGGGACATGCTGAATGAAGAGAATGAGGAGTGTCTCCAAAGACTCACAGATGTGACAGCCATAGAGAAACTGTGTGAAAGACCGTCTTTCACTTCTTTGTTCAAAGAGAAAGAAGAAAGTGAGAAATCACTTTGGAAGGAAAATGACAATTTCTTATGGAAAATAGATAAGAAATCTGACACAGATGATGAATCTTTTTCTGGTACTTAATGTGGAATTTAAATATTGAGGGAGAAAAAAGATAAAAATGTTCACAGATATCCTTGAGTTACATTTTATTCCCAGAACTGGCTTGATACATTTAATTAATTTAAGTTAATTAAACAACTTAATGCATTTCAAGCTTTTTAAAAGGCTTTTTCAAGAATACCTTCCTTTCAGAAGTCTTACAAAGAAAATGCATGTATTTATTTTTCAGCCATATTCTATCTGTTTTAAGGAAGTTGCAAGAAAGAAAAAGACAAGCCTTTAAAAAGAAGTGAAGAAAATTCAGAGACATCGAGTGAGGGTTCTTCCCTATTTTCTGTTTATTTCAGTGGGAACTGGAACAAATAGTTTTGAAAAGCTGAACAGCCTTTCTGCACATTTATATACTTGACATTTCCCGCATCGACCGAGAGCTCAAAAATAGAGACGGCTCTGTGGCCCCACGCTTGTGCAGGGTCATTTGCAAAAATGAATCAAGCAAACGTAAATTCATTTATACTATAAACTCACTCGCCAAAACCAACACCAACCATAAGAACCTCCGTTGCCGCCCTGACCTAACCATACAGCAACGTGCCCGCTCCCGTGCACTCCGCATTGAACTCAAAAACCGTCTAGACAATGGAGAGAAGGACCTGTACATTGACTACCATGCTGACTGTATCAAAAGTAAGCCACGCAACCCAATACTCAGCTTCTACCCTCAACCACAACACTACCTCAACCGATCCACCATCACCCAAGACTAGGCACGCACGCCCCCAACTACCTCAATTCCAACTACTGCCGGACTTAAATGCAAACTACTCAATGCAAGAAGCCTCGTGAATAAAATACCTGAATTTCTCATCCTCCTAAATATGGCTAACTTCGACATTATATTTGTCTGTGAAACATGGCTCAATGCATCTCTCCCCGACTCCATTACCACAGTAAGAGACTATCATGTTTACCGATCAGATCGTGAAAATCGTCGAGGAGGTGGTGTTGCTATATTCTATAAAAAATCCTTACATCTAAAAAATATCCAAGTTACCCAGGAGCTTGCTCTTCCTGAGACCATCATCTGTGAACTATCCTTAAATATCACAATTCGATTCTTACTATGTTACAGAGCACCTGATTATGACATCGAACATGTAAACAAGCTAAATACATTACTAACATGGGCTGCATCCTGCCCATACCCTTTTATCTTTCTTGGTGATTTCAATCTACCTCATATTGACTGGACCCTAAATGATTGTACAACTGAAATCATACACACAACCTTCTACAACGCTATTACAAATCTGGGACTGGAACAACTAGTAACCAACAACACTAGACTAAACAACTGCCTCGATCTCATCTTCTGCAATAGTTTGAATTTAATTTACGGAATACAAACTAAAGAACCCTTTTCCAGTAGTGACCACAATATGATTGACTTTTGTCTCAACATACGTCCACACAAAAATCAGCACAATGATGTAATCCCCAATTGTAACTTCAAAAAAGGCAACTATGATCTTATAGACAACGATCTCTCATCCCTGGATTGGCAATCTCTATTCACTGGATGCAATACTGTTGAAGACCATTACAACATATTTTTACTTGAAGTCAAAAGAGTCATCAAACTATATGTACCAACAACAACTCCCAAAACAAAACAAAAAAGCAGATTACCCATATCAATAAGGAAACTTCAATCCAAAAAGAGATCACTCTGGAGGAAAAACAAATCTGGTCACGTTACCAATTTCAAAAACCGATACAAAAATTTATGCCACCAGATAAAGACCGAATGCACCAATTATCACATTAAACAAGAGGAAAACCTTCTAAGCACCAATTCCACCCGTGCTTTTTACAATTTTGTAAACAACAAACTAAAAGACTCAAGGTCCATCCCTCCCTTGATAGGACCTGATGGTAAAGACTGCAACGACGACACCATTAAAGCCAACATCTTTAACACATTCTTCGGCTCAGTATTTGTAAACAGCAATGGATCATGCCCAGTATTTCCTAGCCGTACCACAGATAACAATAATGATCTAATACATATCGATTTCACAGAAGACAATGTTGAAAAATCACTACGCAATCTAAAACCATCTCTATCTATTGGACCGGATGGAATATGTGCTTACTTCTTAAGAAAGCTATCCACTGCCATAGCCAAACCTCTAAGCATAATCTTTGAAAAATCTTTCAGGACCAGCTCCTTGCCTAACCTATGGTCACAAGCCACAGTCATCCCCATCTTCAAAAAGGGAGACCCAAGCCTAGTTGAAAATTACAGGCCAATCTTCTTATGCTGCGTCACCTGTAAAGTCATGGAATCAATTATTAACCAATCCATCATCCTCCACTTAGAGACAAATAACCTACTCTCCAATAAACAATTTGGTTTCAGAAAAAAACTATCCTGTAATCTACAACTCTTACACTGCAAAAACATATGGACGACACAACTCGACCAGGGCAAAGCAATAGACGCAATCTACATAGACTTCTGTAAAGCCTTTGACTCAGTGGTACACGACAAACTACTCCTAAAAATAAAATCCTATGGTATCTCTGGACAACTGAATAACTGGATAGAAGCATTCCTGTCAAACAGACAACAAATGGTCAAAATCGGGAGCGTCCTATCAAATCCAGTACCTGTCAATAGTGGTGTCCCCCAAGGCAGTGTTCTAGGACCAACTCTCTTCATACTCTACATAAACGACCTCTGTGATCATATTAAGAGCAATTGCGTTCTCTTCGCTGATGATGTAAAGCTGTTCAATACCACAGACAATACTGCTACCCTACAAAAAGATCTTGACTATGTATCAGAATGGTCAAACAAATGGCAACTTCAAATCTCAACAAATAAATGCTCTGTCTTACATATTGGCAAAAAAAATCAGAAAATAAAATACAAGCTGAATAGTCAAGAACTTGTTGATGACCCTAGCTCTGTAAAGGACCTTGGAATACTCACCTCTAATGATCTAAGTGCTAGAGCCCACTGCAACTACATAGCCAAAAAGGCATTAAGAGTTGTTAACCTAATCCTACGTAGCTTTTTCTCTGGTAATATCACACTACTAACCAGAGCATACAAAACATTTGCTAGACCAATACTCGAATACAGTTCATCAGTCTGGAACCCACATTACGTATCTGATATTAGCACAATTGAGAAAGTCCAGAAATATTTCACAAGAAGAGTTCTCCACTCCTCTACTCGTTGTAGAATACCTTATGCCACCAGACTTGAAATTCTAGTACTAGAAAACCTTGAATTACGCCGTCTTCGGTCTGACTTAAGCATGGTATATAAAATCATACATTGCAATGTCCTACCTGTCAGTGAATACTTCAGCTTCAACCATAACAACACAAGAGCACACAATAGATACAAACAGTTTCCGGTTTGTCAGCTTCGCGAGCGGCAGGGATTTGCGAAGCTGCGCGATCCCTGCCGCGCTAGCCGTTTTTGGGGCTCCGACCCAGACGGGTACGGAGCTAGGCTGCCCTGCAGGGGCAGCTGAAGGTAGGGGGGATCCGGAGAAGGGTTTGGGGGTGTTGCAGACCCCCTTCCCGGCCGGCAGAACCCCCTTTTCCCAGGACGGTGCAGCGGCGGTCCGTAATGGCCGCCACAAAGAAGCTGGCAGCCGGGTAAGAATGTGCAGGAGGAAATGGAGAAAGTGCTTGAGAGGAGAAAGTTTTTCTTGGTTCCTAGGACTCTAAGACATATTTAACAAAATTCCTGAAAAGTATGACTTTCTGAATGATACCTTCGAGAAGAGGAAAAAAGCGGCAGTTTAATGGTGCTGAAAGGATAGCTTACCCTCTTTTTTTACGGAATAAAAAGTGAACATTAAGAAACCTATTTTTTTTTAGGTGAAAACTGGCTCTAAGCGGTGAGTGGGAAAAGAGAGGACTTAAAAAAAAATATTTGTATGCTAAGACCTTGTTGGAGGAGATGCCTTAAGGATTGAAAGACTAAAATATATTGCAATAAGACTTTAAGAAACAGATTTGGACTTTCTTTTTCTCTAATTGATACTACCCCAGGAGGAGAGAGTGGGAACTCTGTCTTGGTTTGGACTGACTGAGAACTTTGGGATTGTCTTATTTTTCCTTTGGAATATTCTGGCTGTTGTAAGAGAAAAGAAAAGAAAAGATTTATAATGGCTTCTTCTATCGAGGAACTGAGAAAAGATTATGAGCAAGCAAAACAAAATGGTAAAGCTGGTGTGAAAGAAGCCTTCCTTTTTTTAGAAATGGCGCTTATTAATTATCAACAAACATTGCAACAGATGAAGACAGCAGAAGAAGAACAAAGAGAGGAAGCCATCTTTAATAAATCTCAGAACTCGACCAAGAGGGAAGGAAGAGGAAAAAGAAGAGAAATAAAGGACTTAAGATTTAAAAAAACATTTAAAAAAGGGAAAAACAAGGTGCAAAATCAATATAAGGATGGTAAACAAAAGGGAAGAGGAATGCGACAGAGAAGGGAAGCCAGTAAGGCAGAGGCTAGAAGAAGGGGGGCTAGAAAGGTTTGTTGGGGGAAGAAAGAAAGGGAAAAGGTGGAGAAAAGCTACAAAGTTTTGAAATTAAATGAGAAAAAAGAAATTTTTTTTAGGGATAAAGGATAAGTATAATTTCTTCAAAGAGATTTTGCAAGGTACATAAGATGATATTGTAGTATTGTATCAGAAATAGAAAATTTAAATGGCTTGAGAGTTGATAAGAGATTAAAATGTTGGAATGTTAATAATGATTGGTTTGAAAATATAATATGAGGGGAGATTTAGAATATTAAACTTTAATTAAAGAGTTTATTAAGAGTATGGTATTGATGTTATTATAAAACTTTCATTATAGTATTTTGTTTTTAATATTTAAATCTATTGCTTAACTATGTATTTAATTGTTTTAGATGTATTATTCAGTTAGAAGGTACCAAGCAAAATCGGATTGGGTATTTTAAAGATTAATTTGATTAATTTAGTGGGGAGATAGAAAGGCATCATACTCTGATTAGTGATTTCAGGAGAAATTTCTTTCTTTTTAAAAGGAATGAGACAAAGGTATAATAGAGAATGGACAAAAGATATAAATATAATGACTCAAATTAAGATGATTAATTAAGATAGAATTAAGAAGAGTGAAATATGTGGAGAAGTTAATATAGAAAACTTAGAATGGTAAATAAAATAAGTAATGATATGTAAGATGAGCCTGAATATAATTGAAGTCCATGAAAAGAGAGATACCTGGGTCCAAGTTACTTTCCAAAAAGATCTTTTTTATGTTTTGTGTGTTGTGTGATTATGTTGTTTTTTTTCTGGGGGAAAATTAATAAAACCTTGTAGAAATATAGAAT